TAGTCCCGGTGAGTTGTTACAGTTAAGTTTATCAATTTGTTCCAAAACCTCTTCTAATGACACCTCAATCTGGGACAATTCCTCAGATTTGTCAAATAAAAAGAAGGGCTCAGGTTTGGGAATCTCCCCAATATCCTCAGCTGTAAAGACTGAAGTAAAGAATTCATTTGGCTTCTCCGCTATGACTTCATCATATTTGAGGGCTCCTTTAGCATCTCGATCGTCTAAGAGCCCCACTGGTTGTTTAGCAGTCTTTCTGCTTCTGATGTACTTAAACATTTTACTATTACTTTCTGAGTTTTTTGGCTAGCTGTTCTTCAAACTCTTTTTTGTTGGCTTTTCTTATTATATTTTTACACTTACCTTGACACAGTTTATGCTCCTTTCTATTTTCCTCACTAAGGGTACGTCTAGACTACATGCCTCTGTCGCCAGAGGCATGTAGATTAGGCTACCAGATATAGTAAAACGAAGCGGCGATTTAAATCAGCTGTTTGTCGGCTCAGCGCGATAGTCTGGACACGCGGGTGTCGACATCAAAGGTATTTGTCGACCACCCAGGTATGCCTCATTGAACTTATCCTGAGAAACAGAAATAGAACCACTAATTACTGGGTACTATATTTCCACTCCCACTCCTGTACTTGTCAATATGATGGCCTGAACCATCAATTTAATACAATTGATGGCAAACCATACATAAGGTGTTAGCCAAAACTCACAGCATGCAAAAGAAGCCTTCTCATAGACTTCAAAGGGCTTTGGAGATTGTGAAACAAATCCAATACTGGACTCAGGGTACGTCTAGACTATCGGCTCAGCGCGGCAGCCATGTAAATTTAAATGAAGCGGCGATTATTTAAATCGCCGCTTCATTTTACTATGTCTGGTAGCCTAATCTACATGCCTCTGGTGACAGAGGCATGTAGTCTAGACGTACCCTAAGATTTGACTTCCACTTTTTAAAAGAGGTCTTTTTATCTGCCACTGCTTCTTTTACCTGGCTGTTAAGCCACAGTGGCATTTGTTTGGTTGGTTTACTGTTTTATTTTTTTTTAATTTGGGATATACATTTAAGTTGGGCCTTTAGTATAGTGTCTTTGAAAAGTTTCCATGCAAGTTGCAGAGATTTTACTTTTGTCTCTGTTCCTTTTAATTTCTGTTTAACTTCCTCATTTTTGTGTAGTTCCCCTTTCTGAAATTAAATGCCACAGTGCTGGGCTGCTGAGGTGTTTTTTCCCATCACAGGGATGTTAAATTTTATTACATTATGGTCACTATTTCCAAGCAGTCCAGTTAGATTGACCTCTTGTACCAGATCCTGCACTCCACTTAGGGCTAAATCAAGAATAGCCTCTCTCCTTGTGGATTCCAGAACCAGCTGCTCCAAGAAGCAGTCATTTAATGTATCAAGAAATTTTATCTCTGCATTGTGTCCTGAGGTGATGTGTACCCAGTCAATATGGGGATAGTTGAAATGCCCCACTATTGAGTGTTTTAGTTTGATAGCCTCTCTAATCTCCCTTAGCATTTCATAGTCACTATCACTGTCGTGATCAGGAGGTTGATAATATAGCCCTACAGCTATATTCTTAATCTTGGAGCATGGAATTACTATCCATAAAGATTCTATGGAACATTTTGACTTATTTAAGATTTTTACTTCATGGTCTTTTACATATAGTGCCACTTGCCCACCAGCATGACCTGCTCTGTCCTTCCAATATATTTTGTACTCTGGTATGACTGTGTCCCATCCATTGTCCTCATTCCACCAAGTTTTCATGATGCCTAGTATATCAGTATCTTCCTTTAAAACTAGTCATTCCGGTTACCCATTTTACTATTTAGATTTCTAGCATTTGTGTATAAGCACTTTAATAATTTGCCACCTTGTCACAGCAAGGTGGGGGAAACAGGAGCTGGTGCTGGAGGAGCCAGCTCAAAAGCTGATTCCTGCCAAAACGATCTTTTCAGTACTGCCTGCTCTCCCCTTTTCCCCGCCTGCTGCTTCTATCAGAGGCAGTGGGGGAGAGAACGGGGAGGCTGCTACTGAAGCAGTCTGCTCACTCTGGTGCAATATGTTGCACCTCTGCATTTTAAATGTAGTAAGACCCTGGCAGCTCTTACTACAAATTCAGAATTATGGTGCGGGTGGCTCCTGGAGCTGGCATGAGCTGGGACTACTTAGTCATGGCTCCTGCAGCTACCCCTGCTGCAACTCTGCAGTGCTACCCTTACCGACTAATCATGTAGTTCATACAAATTGTATCTACTAAATGATTACCCAGATGAGCACAATTTAACATCTTTCGCATAGAACTGCACAGGTAATCCCAAACTCCAATCCCCTTCTTCCTCCCTTCTGGGACAGGAGACCTGGGAATACGAGGAACTTTGAGTAGCAATTTTTTTTAATGAATTGCAAGAGTCTCCTGTATAGACTCTTTATTTCCAGTCCACTGATTGATTTGCCTCCCTAATCCTGTTTTCCAAGTAATGAAGCCTAATTAAGGTTGCCAGGTTTCCGGTATTGTACCAGACAGTCCGGTATTTGTGTGCTCTGGTTTAAAAAAAAAAAAAAATTAGAAAATACTAGATGGCTGTGTCTAGACTGCATCCCTTTTACGTAAAAGGGATGCAAAATAGATACATTGCAATTGCAAATGAAGCGGGGATTTAAATCCCCCCCTCTTCATTTGCGTAAAAATGGCTGCCGCTTTTTTCTGGCTTGGAGCTTTGCCAGAAAAAAGCGCCAGTCTAGACGGGGATCTTTCAGAAAATAAAGCCTTTTCCGAAAGATCCCTTATTCCTCTTAAAGGCCAGCTGTGCTTTCTTTCCCCACCAGCTGTGCTTCCTGATCCCCCGCCCCCTGCCAGCTTAGCTTCCTGCTCCCCCTTCCTCGCGGCTCCCCCATCCTCAGCTGTGCTTCCCGCCCCCCCCCCCTTACTCCAGGCCAGCCCC